AAAATATTCTAGTAATATAAATGTCATGTGATAAATATATAATTATTTCGATCTTTCGATAAAATTATTTTCAAATTGATATCTAGCCAAAGTTCTAAATTTTTTTCGTCGTATTGTTACACATTACTTTTTGAAGCAGCCATCCCGTCATTCGTCGTACAACTTTGTGGAAGTGTCTTCGGGTGCCGTCAATCAAATTTCACATTTCACTGAGAAACCAAAAACGACAAACATGGAATTTCTCTATCGCTAAGAAATATATTAAGCAATTTTCTGAACTGATGCGCTCGTTTCGATGGACTCCAAGGACTATTAAACCGCTACATTCACGTAACGACGCACGAACGATGAATCATCGCATCCTTCTGCCTTCCATTTTCTGCTTTTGCAATGTAAAAGAAAATCGTGCTCTTATCTCCCGTGTTTTCGGCGCGTTATCAAGCCACATTGAAAGTGAAAAAGATGGCGCGGAGGGAGTTTAATACACGAAGTCTAATGGGCGTTTTTTTTTTCCAATTTACGCCGGTTGGCATGTCGAAATTTTCCCATTAGCTCGCAGAATACATTTCTCTTAACGTGACAGTCTTGAATGTAATATTAGACACTCGACGATTGTTCTAACATAAATATAATTATAGAGTTGAATAAACGGACTCGACGAGGGAGGAAAAAAAAAGGAGGGAAGAGAAAAAGATTGAGTAAAAGACCGATTGTTGATTCGGCTGTGAAAGAGGAACTAAAAGAAATTCCCTCCTCGGAGAAATTTGTGACACATTCCACGGCAAGTGAGACCGATCCTTTGTTGATCCAAGATACGTAATAAAGTGTAAGAACGCGATGATGTGTTACCTTCTTATCTTCCGTTCCTAACTAACACAATGAAAGGTTGAGACATAAAACAAATCTGAAACATTCCAGACCAGAGACACAAAAGTATTGTCTAAGGCTTATTCACAGGTATTTTTAATTATATCTCGTTACGCCCATTTTCTTTTCTTGTTCTAATTTTTTTTTTCTACCGGCGCACGTGTCTTTTTCCCGTCGAGGTCAAAGTCCGCCTTCTTCCGTCTGTGTCGAAACGTTGTCTCGCATGTGTGTGCGGTATCATGCGACTCACAATCAGTTTCGGAAAATACGGCAAAAATACAGGCGAATACAGAATTATATCGCCGTCGTGTGTCCTATTCCGTCAACGAAACAAAAGTTACATATCTAGGCGCTGATAAGGAAAAAAAAAAAAGAGAGCGGCCTTTTCGTCATTAACAATTATTATCGGTATCCGCTAAGTAATGTCAAACGGCCAGTTTTAGTTATCGCGAGCACATTTGCTTCTCGCACGTGTGCATACACACGTACGCATTTCACACATACACATACGCGTGCGCGCGCGCGCGCGTATCGTTTGCAACTTAATGAGTGGCAGCAGCAAGTAACACAGACAATGGATCACTTTCTCGCTCTTATTATTATAATGATGTAACGACGATGAATTATCGCGGCTGATGTCGAAGACTCCAGGATCGCCGTCGCGTTAACAAGGAGAGAAGAGGAGGTGAGCGCGGTTTATAGGTCACGTAATCGCGAGCGGCTCTTACATTCGAAAAGGTGATAACCGAACGTGTCGAACGTTCGCGAAAAGCCGCGCTTACCGTTCCGTTCCGAGGCAACAACGAGAAAAAGAAGAGAAGAGAGAAAAACGGAGGAGGAAGCGAGACACGGCGATCGCCGCCGCTCCATCGTCGATTACGCTGTTGTTTCTGCACTTACGAATATGCAACAGTCACATCGCTTCACCGACGATGAGAAATAATTTTTTTTCTTCTCTTCTTTTTTTTTTTTTCGATCGCTCTTCCACGCCTCGCCTCGAAATATCGTACAAAGTCATTGTCTAACGCAAACAGCGAGCGCGTTTTTCCATTTTTCTTTTTTGCAACCTTTTTAGCGCTGCTCTCGCGGCCATTATCGGTGTTATTTAATATGAGGATTATCAACTTACCGATTCCTTGGACTTTGCATTTATCTCGATGACAGTTCTTTGCAGCTCGCAGTTCTGTCGGCGCAGAAGAGAAATCTGTAAGACGACAGAGAGACGATCCTTATGTAAGTTATATATAAATTAAACGCCGTGAATTGAAAAAAGAAATTGCACGAAGGCCATAGCTATTGCATATCGATATGCTAATTCCCCTTCGTTCATTCCCTATGCGCGTGCACATGTCACCTCGTCATGGTATTTAGAAACTTAACGAGCATTAATAACGAGCATTAATATTTATTTCTATTGATAGATTTTTAGATTTTAGACTACTAATCTCGATCGTTAAAGGATTTTATCGAATTTTAACGTTACGCGTTATTTTGACAGATAACAGGAGCGAATGAATCATTCGAAAAGCGAATGCTGACAAGTAAGTTTAAAAGCAGGCTCGGGACTAAAAATTTACAAATACGGAAGCAACGATAATCGTATTTATGAAGCGATATACATAAAAATGACCATACTCACTTTATTTTATATTAAATAATCATCGAATGCAAAAAATTTGCGTCTCTCCCGAGTACTCAGGTGGCAGTTAATTATAAATATAAATATAAAATAAAAAAGATAAAATTTAATAACATTTATTCAAGATTTATATCGTGATATTATAATCTAAAAAATAAATTCGTCGCATATGTCGTTACGGCCAGTAAAGTTTGAATCATTGCAGAATATAAACTTTGTAACTAGTGGAATGTAAATATCGTTGTTTTTATAAATATAATAAAACAATTATAAATCTTCAATCAATCTAACATATAAAAAAAATTAGTCTTAAATCAAGATATAAACAAAAATATATTATAGCCTTCTTGGAAAAACTTTAGTCTTGATTTGATTGAATTTTTATTGATGCAACTTATTCTCTATAGGTATTCTCACGTATAAGTAAGAATATTATATAATCTTCTTCGTATAGAAGATTTTTAGTCTTGAGTTGAACAAAGTAACACTTTCATCGATACAAAATTAAACTTTTAATTAAAAATTATTTAATT